TCGTGCAACAACAATTGACTGATCCTTCTTAATGCTTCACTCGGATCATCGTTGCCTATTCTCGCTACTCACGCATGTTTGTCTCTCGCGAATTGTGTCCACAAGCCTCCACATCACTCTTTCACCTCGTCAGGCCATTTGGGCCTAGATTTACAGCCCTTTTTGAAGCAATCAGTCACTAGTGAAGTTTATCAAACATTATAAAACATCATTACGTCATTCGTAATCTGACTGTTTCTGTTTCCAACTGCACGAAGGGGATCGAGGGCCATCATTGCTTTCTGCTTACCATTTCATTCGAGGTTAACAAATGGTTTTGGTTTTTATCAACGCTTTTCAGTGAGCTCTTTTTCGTCGTTTACCTCGATCTATTGAGGTGGCAGTTAATGACGTTGTGAGGCTTGGTCGGCGAAGAGTTTTTCACGATGAGCTCTGGCACAGCCGCGTCTTCTTCGGCTTATTCTCTTTCGCACTGTAGAACCAAGCCTCATCTCGTAGAGAAATACCTACAACCGTAGGTAAAATCAAACAAAGAGATGACAAAGCAATTGATCAGTGCCCACAGTTAAACTTATGACCAATCGCGTTTTTTAGTTTTTACTGATATCTGAGAATTCTGAAGGATTACCGCGATTACGGTGAGACTTTTGAGCGGAAGATCAGTTTTTGGTCTCTGGCATCTTATTTTCGCAACCTCTACAATTTTCACCAACGTCAACTAATCACCACATTTACCGGCAGGTAACACGGCAGATAAACATTCGCTATATCCTTCATTAGCTGCCAAGTCTAAACACATGAAACTGGGACAAAACGAAGAATGGCAGCGAAAGCGATTGAGAACGGATCAGAAGTTACAAAGTAATGTGATGTTTCGCTTCCCAAGATCGGTTGAGAAAGAAGAAGGGTTCGAAACCGCGGCGAAGTCTTCCTATAACGTAGCCACCGTCCATTCATGATACTGAAGTCATGGAAAATTATACCCATTTCAGTCATCGGCCCGATTACGAAGGGCACAGC